TTTTTTTTTTTTTTGAGAGAGAGAGAGAGAGAGAGATTTTTGCTATAGGTCATGTGTACTTGCCAGAGAACAGACACAAAAAGTGAGAAATCATCCCCCAGGGGGATGGTCATGGCACAATCCCTTCTCCTCCATTCTCCTCTTGGGACTTTGGACACACACACACTTGCGCCTGGCCTGAGTTTCAAGCTGCCAGGTCTGGGACTTGAAATGTGGTTGACCATGTGGGAGTCCAGTGATGTAACCATTACACTATCTGCTAGTCCCAGAATATCCATTTTTTTTTAATTTTATGCCTTTCATATTGCTTTTTGTTTTATTTCCAGTAAGCATGCTTTATCCTTGTTATCAGAAGAAATTTAAAAAATATATCTTTCAGAAAACCGTCATGTTTTAATCTGAGATTTTTAAGTATTAGTGGTGGTTGATGGGCACAGAGTTTAAATTAAAGAAGAATCTTTAAAGGTTCCAGGTGAGAATTAAAAAGTAAACATGAAGGCCAGCTCCATGGCCCAGTGATTAAGGGAGCTGGATCCCACAAGTCTCATCCCTGGTGACTTAGAAATCACACTAGGGGTGTGTGTGTGTGTGTGTGTGTGTGTGTGGGTGTGTGTTGGGGAAGGGTACCCAAAATTCCAATAGGAGTGAGAAATGGAGAAGGGATTGTGGTGTGACCATAACCTACTGGGGATGTTCTCTCTCTCTCTCTCTCTCTCTGACAAGTAGAAGTGCCCTCCAGCAAATTAAGAAAAAAAGAATTAAAAGATAAAATAAAATAAGAGAACATAACTTGGCATTTTCCCTAAGTCCACTTGAATCTAAGAAAAGTTTTGAAGCAATAATAATAAAAGTTATAATTAAAGAAAAAGAGTAGACATGAATTGGCAGAAAACAAAAGAAATGCCTGGTTAAGTGCAGTGGCACCTATATAAACATGATCATGAGACTTTCTTAGTGATTCAAAAGAAAATACAATTTAAAAGAGTCTAGAAGAATTAAAGATAGGTATTCAGAAAATGAGGCAAATGAAAAACAAGACAAAAATTAACTCCAAATAACTCCATAAATGGCAGCAACAAAAATAATCATTATAAACACTGAAACAGCTCAGAGAATTGTCTGTTCACAAGTAAGGAGTAAAATGTGAGTAGATTTTGTCTTACCTGCTTCAGGGCAGGGGAGCATGGGATGAGCTCTCCTATCCGGTTTATCCCAGCATTGATTTTCTTTTTTCTATGTCTCTCCACTGGATAGGAGAAAAATCCACTTATCAAACCTTATACTATTTTGCCAAAGTGCCCTAGTCTTCCTGGGTAAAGAAATTTTAGATAAAGAAATCCCTAAAAAATGCTTATCATACATCATCTACTGAATTCAAGAAAACTATCATTAGTGAATAGGATTTCTAAAAATGGCATATGTGCAGTCTAACATGGAAATGGACAAAAACTATACTTTTATCAAAATTTTAAAGAATGTCACCAATAATTAAATTGAAATTATAAACAGAAATTGCTAATATTGCACTAGACCATCATTTTATTATAGTTTAAGTAATTACTAGATACTTTAATGTCAACCAAATTTAAAGAACCTACTCGCAAGCTATATTATCAGAAAGCTGTGTCTTTAGTGTCTTTATGGCAAATGAGACCTTGAGAGACAAAGAAAAGAACACAAGATATTTTTTAGAATGGCTCTTTTTTGGAAAAGTAACAGTTACTAGTTATGACTTAAAATAGAAGGAGAAAGCATTAATTTGGTTTTCTATATAGAAATTAGGCTATCTACTTTGGCCAGACAGTATCTTTCCCATCTATGAAACTGGGTAACTCATAATTTCTCAATTAACTGCAAAATGTTCCAGGCTTAAGTACTAAGTGGGGTAAAATTATATAAGACATCATCTAAATAATTTCTATAAAATATTTTTGAGAGGATTTTTGCTATAAGGCATGTGTGCCTGCCAGAAAGACAGAGACAGAGAGATAAAAAGCGAGAAATCACCCCCCAGGGGGGATGGCCACGCTGCAATCTCTTCTCTTCTATTCTCCTCTTGGGATCTTGGGCATGCATGCACATGCACCCAGTGTGAGTTTAAGCCACCGGCTCTAGGACTCGAACCGTGGTCAACTACATGGGAGTCCAGCGACATAGCCGTTATGCCAACTGCTGGTCCCAATAATTTCTATAAAATATTATAAGCAGAAACACTGCTATTGACTCTTCGATGTTAGAAAGTTTTCTAGGGCCGGCCAGTAGCGTGGTGGTTAAGGCATCTGGATCCCATATGGCCAACTGTGTGGTCTGAGTCGTGGACCACATGGCTTAAAAAACACTACAGTCATGTGTACATGAATGCCCAAAATCCTGAGAGGAGAATGGAAGATAAGGGACTGCGGCATGATCATCTCCCACTCCCCTGCCCTCACCCCAGGGGCTGCTTTCTTACTTTCTCTATCTCCTTCTCACCCCATCTCTCTCCAGCAAGAATGTGTGTGAATATTAGAGGGAAAAAATTCTAACACCCTCCTTTCTAAGGATTCCAGTGCTTCTAAGATAATCTTTCAGATTATAAAGCATAGGTGGGATTTGTTTTGCAAAATGCTCTTTTTTGCTTTATAGTTTAGCAGTAAAAGCATCCTTTTCAATGACATCTAATAACTCTCTCTTAGTAAGTTTCTGCAGACCCAGCCCATAGCCTAGTGGTTAAGGGAGTCAGATCCCACATGGCCAACTGTGGTTTGAATCCCTCCCCCAGAGGCTTGAAAATCACACCGGGCATGTGCATGTGCATGCCCCAAATCCTGAAAGGATGGAGAAATGAAGGAGAAGGGACTGAGGCATTAGCATACCCCAATGGGGTGGGGGGACTTCTCTGTCTCCTTCTCTGGTGAGCACACATGCACTCTGGCAATTAACAATAGCAAAACTAAAATAAAAGATAAAGAGTATGTTACTGTCAGGATATACGTATGGTACCACATGACAGCTGATATGAATACAAACGTTTAATGCACTGGCCAAACAAAGCAAAGCAATAAAGGATACTTTATCTCTCTTCTGGACTCTCTAACATCAGTATTATTGTTATCTAATCTATAAATAAATTTTTTAATTATTTTATTTATTGTTATTATTATTCATTTTTAATATGATCAGAGAGAGAGAGAGAAAGAGGGAAAGTGAGAAAGCAAGCCACCAGGTCCAGGACTTGAACCATGGTCAGCCATATGGTAGTCCAGTGTCAAAACCACTATGGCACTTGCTGGTCCCAAATTTTTTAATGGGTGGATGTTTAAAAAGAAAAATTAAGACTCTTTACCCATAGCAATAAACAGGGCCTTAAAAGCACTAAACTCCTCCTTCTGAAGGCCAGTAGATGGCATAGCAGTTACGTCCCTGGACTCCCACAAGGCTGACAACAGTTGGAGGTCCAGATCTGTAACTTGAAATTCACACCGGGCGTGTGTGCGTGCATATATACCCAGTATCCCAAGAGGAGAATGGAGGAGAAGGGATTGCAGCATGACCATCCCTCTGTAGGATAATTTCTCACTTTCTCTCTCACTGCCTTTGTCTCTCTCCAGTGAGTACATGTGCCCTAATGCAAACAAACAAAAAAACTCCTCATTCTGGGAAACAGCTATATCTTACCATGGTTCAACACATCTTCCTGAGATAAAATTTTTCCTAGGTCCTTTCCTCACGGAAAGGAAGATATTATTTATAGAGTAATTAATTTCTGAAATATTTTGTTAGATCTGAATTCAGTCCCTGATGGAAAATAAACTATTAAACAATATGCCAAATTACAAATGTATATATAATTCTGTATTTCATTATCTGATAGTTGATGTTGTAGAAGCTAGTATTTATTTTCTGCATTTCTTCCAATAATCAAGGACTCCACAGCTTAATTTCAGACAGCTCTCTAGTCTGCTGCTCTTCTCTTCCCTACCCTCTGAGTGGTCAACCCACTTAGGAGTTTATGGAAAAACATAAAATCTTCATTCTATTTAGAAGTACATATTGAATTCCTCTGTAAGTAAAATCACATAAAGCACTATCCAGGGCCCGCGTGGTGGCACAGTGGTAACACACTGCTCAAATGAAGGTGGGTCCAGATGGAAGATCACATGTTCAGTTCCCCGATCACCCTGTGGATCCATGCACACTCATGGATCCTGGTTGGCTGGGAAGGATAGGAGGGACTGAGGTGCGAGACCCTGCTGAGGGAACTTGTTTGTCTGTCTGTCTTGTCTTTATCTCTCACTCTCACAAAAGAAAGAAACTTTAAAAAAAAAATCTGGCTCTACATATATCTTAATCTCTTAAATTATCGGAAAAAGAAAAGCAAGCCATCTTCATGAGACCCAGGGAGTATTTTGTCAATTAAAAACAATAAAGAAACACTTACCTAAAACATTTTTCTATGCTTATAACATTAAGATTTATTATCAACTGTGGTATAATTTATTTTGAATGAAAAAAATGCTAATAGGTAAAATTTAAATGATTATATCTAAGTTATTGTATCTACCTGCATTGTGCGTCTCCCGGTTTTTCTTTCTGAAACAAAAAGTGTAGATTAAAGATAACATAAAAATAATGGGAAATACTTTTACCACTTCACATTTTGAGAACCAAAATGTAAATTTTATGAATTTATATTTGTTGTTTGTTGCTTCAATAAGAAACCAACTTAAGAAAATGTTCTTAATACGTATTATGGTATGAAAACCAAACTGCAAATGCCTCAATATAAATTTAGAAGCCATCATTTCTGGAAATAACTATAATTTTTCTATTTTTTCATACCAAGAAGTCAGAGATTAGAAAGAAACTGAATCCTTAACCATTTATACAATGTGATTTAGGTGCTAGCAAATGCTCAGTTGTGTGACCAGTAGGTGACATGGAGTTTGCCATGGCACCCAGTCAAGAATGAGTGTGGGTGTGTAGGAGGAGGAAATGCTGTGTAATTCCCAGAGGGAACATGTCAACTGACAGCACTCACACACTGACAAGTGGCATTCAAGCCATCTTTGACACTGTATAGCTCAGGTTGGCCCAAACTCTTAAACGTTCATAAAAGCCAGTCTCCTAAAAACATTGATTTTTCCCTTTTATGCACAATTAACCAATACATAAGCATTGTCTAGTAGCTAGTCAGTAGG